GCCGCCTGCTACGTGAACCCCAGCCTCAGCCAGCTGCCCTCGCCGGCCGAGGAGGCTGACAACGACCTTTGCGTGCACTTGGTGCAGCTGCTCCACAGCACGCTGGTGGATAGGATGCAGACCATGCAGGTTGCCGAGAAGTGTCTGCAGATGGGCATCTTCCAGGAGGAGGACCTGGATCGGGTAAGTAACCTGCTAGGCTGGGTGCCGGGCAGCACTGCAGACACTGGCCAGCAGCAGGAGCTGTGGGGCAGACAGGAAGGCACGACTAGAAATGGCCTTCTAAGTGCAAAAATGAAACGGCAGTACCCAAACCTGGAGGAAAAGAGAAATGGTGCTCCAAGTAAGCCAATGAAGACTGCTGGCAATAGGCCAGGTGGGATGCCACCTAAGAACCAGGGAGAGAAAATGCCATGAACAGAGGGTTAGACTAAGCCGGTGTCTAAGTGGAAGAAATATGGCTGGCTTTACTTACCATTTTGCCACACACCTTAGGCTCAGAAGATCATTAAGTGCCTTCTGGCCCCTGAACCCTATAAGGAAATAGTGATGGCCTATAAAGTCCTAGAGAATACTTGAGATAAAGTAAGACATTCCTTCTCCTCTTTTGCCACAGATCCACTAAGGAGTATCATACTAGACAGTGAAACTTAGCAGAAATACCAGTTTGACAAGAAGAAGCAAGTGTTAACCTTTGACGAAAATGTTTGCCAGTGTTTGCTCCATTTGGCTAAGAATGACGTGCCTGGACTAGTATGAAACTCGTTTGGAACCCCCAAAAAATTGATACCCTGAAACTGTGTTAGAAGAAGAAATTAAAGTAATACTTGTCATAGCAATTAGGGAAAAACTGGCAAACTAAGGATAGGACTACATTATATTTGCACTCTGAGCTTTTGCATCCACTTTTTGGGTAGTTCAATGCTCCATCTCAGTTAAATGACAGTCATGTATGTAATTTTGTCTGATGACTGTCAGGTAGCAGTAAGAGCCAGCTATACTCTAAGGGCTGGGAGCTGAGCATGGTAACCCAGCAGGCAGGGCAGGGGCCTTTAAGGAGGTTACTGGCTCTATTCCCTGGTAATGGGTCCACCTGTTGCCCTGTGCATCTTTTTGCTGCTAGTATTTCCATTAAGCCCTTCATTTCCCTTCGCAGTCCTGCCAATTTCAACTCCAACGATGCCCAGGCTTTATTAATGTGATTCTATATTTCTTTTTGTTTACCTCTCCCTACTCCCACTTCCCAGGCACTTCCTTTTAGTATTCAATCTCAGTCAGGGGTTCCCACTGCTACACCTGCCTGTTTTCTTGCGTATCAAGATGGATGATTCTCGAGCCTCAAGAAAATTACCTGTGAGGACTAAACACCTGTCTCAGGTGCTTTGCTTTTCAGAAGGTCATTTTGTTTCTCATGTGATCACGTGTCAAGTTCTGCTTGTGACAGCCTTGGAACACTTTTCTATAGTTTCTTTGAGGACAATAGGACTTTCTAGAGGCTTAGCTGTTGTATCTTTAAGTGGGAATTAAGATAATTAAACCAGAGGTTAAGAAGTGAAATGTTCCATTTCAGTACTGGGGCCAGTGCTATTTAACATCTTTGTTGGTGACATGGACAGTGGGATTGAGTGCACCCTCAGCAAGTTTGCAGATGACACCAAGTTGTGTGGTGTTGCAGACACGCTGGAGGGAAGGGATGCCATCCAGAGGGACCTTGACAGGCTGGAGAGGTGGGCCTGTGAGAACCTCGTGAAGTTCAACAAGGCCAAGTGCAAGGTCCTGCACATGGGTCAGGGCAATCCCAAGCACAAGTACAGGCTGGGCGGAGAATGGATTGAGAGCAGCCCTGAGGAAAAGGACTTGGGAGTGCTGGTGGATGAGAAGCTCACCATGAGCCGGCAATGTGCGCTGGCAGCCCAGAAAACCAACCATGTCCTGGGCTGCATCAAAAGGAGCATGGCCAGCAGGTCGAGGGAGGTGATTCTGCCCCTCTACTCTGCTCTTGTGAGACCCCACCTGGAATACTGTGTTCAGCTCTGGAGTCCCCAGCACAAGAAGGACCTGGAGCTACTGGAGCAGGTCCAGAGGAGGGCCACAAAGATGATCTGAGGGCTGGAACACCTCTGCTATGAAGACAGGCTGAGAGAGTTGGGGCTGTTCAGCCTGGAGAAGAGAAGGCTCTGGGGTGATCTTATTGCAGCCTTCCAGTACCTAATGGGGGCCTACAGGAAAGCTGGAGAGGGACACTTTTTACAAGGGCGTGTAGTAATAGGACAAGGGGCAATGGATTTAAACTGAAAGAGGGTAGATTTAGATGAGATATAAGGAAGAAATTTTTCACTCAAAGGGTGGTGAGGCAGTGGAACAGGTTTCCCAGAGAAGATGCCCCATCCCTGGAAGTGTTCAAGGCCTGATTGGATGAGGCTTTGGGCAACCTGGTGTAGCCCATGGCAGGGGGGTTAGAACCTGATGATCTTTGAGGTCCCTTCCAACCCTAACCATTTTATGATTCTATGATTTTATGTATGAGGTCATGTTACAACTCTGAGCTCTGGTAAAGTGTAGAACATCACTTCTTTTTAATCAAGGTTGGCTATTCCCAAAACCAGTGTGAACACCAATTATTATTCCATGATAATAATGATTATTACATAATGATTATTTTTATAACCATTGTCCAGTACTACTAGTGTCTTCAATTAAATTTCAGGTCTCATAAGTTTTATATATCCTACCTGAAACCGTATGGGATAAACACAAAGTTGAAAAACACTGCAGTAAGTCTTTTCTGATGAGTGGCAGACCCACTTTATGTATTTATTTCTAAGTATGTTTTAATGATGAGAGGGAAATGCTTTTGAACCTATGCTGTTCTTATTAACGTCCCTGAGCCATTTCAAAACTCTGTCTCAACGTTGGGTATTTTATTTTCACCAGATCCACACTGTTACTGACAACCGTGGCAACAGAGATGGTGGAAGGGAGCTATTAAGCAGAATAGTGCAAAAGAAAGATTGGTTCTCTCCTTTTCTGGTTGCTCTTCGTGAAACTCAGCATGGAGGCCTTGCAGATGATTTAAGCGGAAACACAGGAGGTAATCATCTTACTTCACTAGCACTAATGTGTAGCTTTTTAATATCTCTTTTTTTTGTACTGTTACTTTGGAAAAAATACAGAGTTCTCACTGTATTGATGTAGCTGTGACACTGAGACTAATGCTTTGAGTTGTCCAGGGATTTCAAAATCAGATTATTTAACAGCTTATTCAATAGATTCTTAAACACTAAAAATCCTTGTTAAGCAGTATCAGAATTACAGTAATATGTATATAATTGTAGTTAAACTGAATCTTTACCTTTTATAGCCCATTGGTTTTCAATGTCATGTTTTTATAATCATTCATAAAAAATTTTCTGAAGATTAATTTGAACAAACAAAACAAACCTTTTCCAGATTCCTCGTTCAACACAAGGATTAGTGTTTTCTTAATAGAATGGTTAACAAATATATGCAGCATTTAAAGTACACTGCAGTATGCCTCCTTGGGGATACGGCATTCATAGGTCTCCAGACATTGTATAAAATTTACTATAAATAATAGAATAAACTCCTGAAGAGATTATTTACAGAGCTGAAAAGAGCTATGTGTTTTTGGCTACTGCTGTTTCCATACAGTGATTATGATAATGTAAAATTATCCCAGTGCTCCTCTGGATTCTAAAATGTGAAAAAAGGAAGCATCTCCCAAATAATGTATCCCTCATTTTATACTGGGCTCTTCATATGTTCTATAAGATTACTAAAGAGACTGAAGTCTTTTAACAGATTTCCCATTTAGCAGCTTCAGCCTTCTCGCTTGAGGTGCTCACCAGAACTATATCTCTGTACTTTAGTTGCTGCATATGGGACAACACATTAAGATTGGGATAAGAGGAGCGTGAAGCTGTCTCTTCCAGTTGAGGACAGGAATCAACCTGTCTTCTGCCAGACACAGATAAGCAGGTGCCATGTTTGAGCTTGCAGTTCAAAGGTGGTTGAGTGTTCCAGTCTGCAGGACAAGACCAATCAAATTAAAACTTCAGAAGATAGTTCTGAGTGAAAGTCAGATAGTGGGAATAGCTCAGCAGCTTCTGTGGTCCTAATTTTCATTTGGTGCTGCAGCTTCGTCAGGCTTAAATTCTTGTCTTCGTTCTTTTGCTATCAGCAAGGTAAACAAAGTAATAAATATTAAGGAAATTCACAAATTATTAAAATGCCTTTCAGCCTTTTATTTTCAATTGTTTTCAAACTTTGCATTTCTGAATTTTCAGTGTGATGGAGACCATATATGGTGAAACCTAAGTTTAATTCAGTTGTTGGACGCAATACCGAATGAATGCGTTTATTCCACAGTTTCTTGGTAATCTTGGGCAACGCAGGCCCTAAAAGAAACTGTACGGATTAATACGTAAAACATAAATTGTATTGCCCTTACCAGAGGATAAGAAATTTTTCATGTACACAATCCTATGTGTGTGTAGATATGTGAAGTGTATGATTGGTGTAGCACTCACTGATTAAGGTCACAGACAGGAAACACTATGAACAGGTTAATTGGATACCTTGGAAGGAGAAGAGTGGTGCTACGTTTTATCACTCCAGGATGATCCCCAGTAATTTGTTACAGTAAAATAGTTTGTTATTAGCAGACATCTACACATAGAAATTGAGAACTTTGTAAGAAATAAATCTTGAAATAAATTAAATCTATTAATTCCTTTACATTTAATTTCAAATTGCAAAGTAATTGAGTTCCAAATCTGGAAAACCCTGGAATGCAGGCTTACATGGTTTTTGTAAAACTCGTTCATAATTTATGGAACAGCATTTTTTGCCTTTGGAGCATGTGTAGTCCTACATGAGTATAATAAAAAATAAAAGAGCAGAGAAGTCAAAGAGAAATTATTTCCATATTTAAAGTAAGACATAGAAGTGGAAGGAGGGAAAACACTTTGTTAAAGCACTCTCAGATTTTCTGTTTTATGGGCGAGTTTTGAAGTCGTGCTGTAATGTACATCCATTTATGAGCTTACAGGACCAGTGAAATCTAGAAGGTAGGAAGCATGGTCTAGTCCACAGTTTAATTTTCAGATCTTTATAGTGACTGGGAATGACCAACAACCTTCTTATAAATATTTATAAAAACATTAAAATTCCAAACTATAATGTTCAAGTCAAGACCAAGACCATATGTTTATGGCACCAATCATTCTTACCCAGCTGGACTGAGTTGAGATAATGAACTACTAATTAACTACTCAACTCAAGGTACCGACCCTGCCCACAAGAGGCAGGCCATTTCCTCCTGGCTGCGGAGGATGTGTCCCTGGTGCTGCAGCCCAGGCTGGTGAGCAACATATGTTAGGCTATTATGGGTATGATGAATACAGGTAAGTTCTCTGGTTTTTATGCTCTATACTAAAAGAAATCAAATGTTTTATAGTGCCATGGAATTTCTGTTTATTTTCTAGGAACAGAGAATAGACAAAATGGAATGAAGAACAGTACAAATGAAGAAACAGAAGTTACAAGCCAACAAGGATATGCCATAGTGGAGGATGTGAAACCACATGAAAATGTGAATGATAATTTCAGTAGTGAGAACAGTGTATTGGAAACATCTATGGGAAAGAATTCTGTAGTTTCAGGTATGTCCGCTAACTGGGATTTTGTGATGGTACCAGTTAAACTCTAGTTACTGGAAATAACTGAGAGAAAGTTCTCAGTGCATTAAAAATTCAGGAACATATGGTACTGTTGAGGTGAAGGGAATGAATGGAAAAAATAAATCTTGATATTTTTTATTCATTTTTTTAAACTGGTAAATTCCATTTCTTCCTATGAATTAACAGCAATAGCAATTTCAGGGGTCAGATCCACAAATTTGTTCACTTCAGGTCAAAGAGTTACTCCAGGACAAGAATATGTTGTCATGCTTGAACTAATTAATGTGAAAGGCAAGAGCTGGTTCAGAAACCAATTTGCTAGCACGGTACAGAATGGCTTACAAAGCCATGGCCAAAAAAGCTGTAGCACACTATGTGCAGCCTTCATGTAGATGTTTTCTGTATCCTGGTTGTAGCAGTGAGTGATGTTTTTTTCTACTATGGGTTGCTTGATTTTCTTAGAAATGAGCAACTTTAAATATCTTCCTTTTCCCTTAAATAGCACTTTCAATAACTTTGTATTATTATTTTTTAATTTACTGTGTGAATAACTGAGTCATTTTCACACACATTTAATGTTGTTAATGAAAAACATGAATATTATTAAACGAATAATTCATTTCAGACATATTCATGGTAGGTTTATACTATCCAATGAAAATATTAGGTTTGCATTGACAACTTCTCCCAGTGTTGACAAAGTTTAAATCAAGAAGAATGTTTCTGTACCACTTTAATTGCAGCCGTTACTAAGTACTTCTTTCTAGATGACTGGTAATTCTATATTGGAAAACATTTTTGATTTTGTTAAGTCCTTTTGCTAACTGTCCAACAAGTAATTTTCCTGTTTATTTTAAGGATTTATGTTTACAGAGTATCAAAAAACCTTTGTTACATCACATGCTCAGCAGTACATTGTTAGTACAAATTTTTAGAAATTGTTGTGGCCTGTTGTTCGTATGGATCCACTTTTAAAAACGTGCCATGAGGATTGATGAGCAACAGCAATTACCAGCAACAGTTCCCAGACATAGCTGGGAACCAACAATTCAAACATATGCTGTAAGATTATGGAACCATTCACGTGTGTTACAAGTTCAGATGTAGCTCAAACAATAGTTACAACTGGGATAAATACTGCCTGAGATGGTTTTAGTGGGCTTACTCAGTCAAAGGAGTAAGAGAGCTAAGGCTGCTCTTTTTTTGTCAAAAATGAATAAATTAAAAAAAAAAAATTGGCTCTGGAAACTGCAGTCTTTCAGTGTGCAACAGTATTAGCCTATTTCTCATTTAGCATGATCTTAACAGCATATCACAATGTTTTGTAGCAAGTAGTGAATTATTAACTACAGCAAAAATATCAACTGGGTTTTCCTGGATTAGGGTGTAATTTGGTAGTATAAAGAAGAGGTGCCAAATGTTTAACAATTATTCAGAATGGATCAAACTGAGTTATCCTCACTCTTAGGATCTTTTCAGGGCAAGGCTAAGGCTCTCAATTGTAGCCTCACTGAGGGCAGGTTTTCATTGCTGTTAGCCTGATCTCGTACTTGACTTGGGCAGTTTTGTTTGGATTGACTTTGATCTGGTGTGGACTGCATGCCTGCAAGTGGCTGGAACACCTCTCATTTGGTTTCAGCTTAAAGGAGTTCATTTTTTGTGATGCAGACCAGCTCTGTGATGTGAACCAAATTAGAATAAGTGGGTACAATTGACAAATTCACTGTAAACATGCACTTCTGAGTTGAACTAAACCAGCAGTGTAGATGCAACGTAGCAAGAGCTGCCAGGGGACAGTGCTGGGTGAGGGTGGCTGTAGAGGAGCGAGCTCTCACGTTCAGCCACCTTGAAGTGCAGTAAGCTTTGATCTCAATGCACTTATACATACAGACTTAACTGCGCTCAAGTCTTTTTCCATTTACATCCTTTCTCATGATCTCATAAGACTGTATTTTTAGATCAGGCAGCTGAAAATACAACTGGAGTCCAGATTCTACTTCCAAGTAGGCTGGGAACCCACCTAATTTGCAATTTGATGCTGTCAAGTGGTGCCAGTTTGACAGTGCACTCCCACCATTCCTTCATATATTGAGAAGGACAAATTTCAAGGAGAAAGAAACTTTTTCAAATCACTTGAGATTTCTGGAGTTTGCGTTGTATCTGAAGCATCCTCTGACCCTTTTACTGGAGTAGCTGAGACAGAGGGAGTCAGGAGGCATGAGGGCACCAAGGTCATAAAGACAAAGTAGAAATAGATAATTTAGCCTAAGAGAAAGCTAGAGAGAAATTGTGCGTGCAAAAACACAGGTAAGAAACTGCACGCACAAGAAACAACACAAAAGCAGTAAATTTGAAAGGTCAGAAGTGAAACACTTGGATTAAGGCTACAGTTACCTGTATAAACAACACTTCAAATAAATAGCAGATCTGCTTCAAGTCCTGATTCATTAAAAGAAGGTTGATTGGAACAAGTAATTACGCTATAATTAAATGGCGATTTCAATAGTGTCTTACAAAATGTCCCTTAATACTTCAGATTAGAAAAACTGCTCATTAATTTGAAAGCAGGACCAATTTTAATCGCCTGTGTATATTTTGGTGTTTCATTTGTATTTTTCAATGTTTGAAACTTATTGTATGACATAATGTAGCACAGGACAGGAAAGACTGACTTTTTAAAATAATATTGCATAGGTCCATTTTTTTTTCATTGCATTCTGCTGTCTTTGTACTTACTTATTAGTCCATGCAAAGCGACTGAAAACCTTTCTGTGGAATATGCTGTGTTACAATATACAAGTAGCACTGTAAGTGAAGACTAGTGAAAGTGGTGAAAACAGCTGTTAGAATATCAACTCTTTTATCTTCATTGTTTTGGAAAGGCTTACTGTTTTATTATTTCATTTAAAAATAATTCAAGACCATTGTCACTGTTGAAAAAGGACAACATTATTGTAGTCACCTTTGATTTGGAAGGTGAGTGTTTTGCATTTCACTGCACCACAAATGTTTTCTGTTGAGCGATTATTTTTTAATGCATGCTGCAGATTGTAATTCAGATAATTATGTGCAAAAGACTTTGTGAATGCGTATTCTCTGCTGCATATACATCTTTCAGTAGGTCATTTTAGATGAGAGACCATATGAAATAGATATACAGAATGTTAATTTTGTCCGCTTTCCTATCTGTATGGATTCCTAGAAAGTGAAAGCGAGACATAGCAGTGTCATCTTCAGAGTCAGAATTCCCACTAATAGTTTATTGCAAGTCTTTGAACATGGGTTATAACCGGAGAGGTGTTCCTCTTTTTTCAGGACAATGCTGTCTTTTAATGTGATATTAAATGCATACTGTTATATAATAATAGGGAAATTTTATATAAATCAGGCTTCTGCTGTGAATATATATTTTTAAGTGCCTTTCTGTTGATTGCATTGATTTCTAGGAGACTAGCCTTTTAATTTAGATGCTTATAGTCTCTAATGCCCTTGTCCATCATAACACTTCCTACAGATTCTGGTGATTCATAGTTGGATCAGATTTTGAGGTCTATATGGAATAAATGATGAAAACTGTAGGACAGGAAGACAGATGTTTGCATTGCTTTTCATGGTTATGTTAGAAAACCTAAGAATAAAGACTTAAACAAATATCTGACTCCTAGTGGTAGTGAAGGTAGCTTCATTTCAGTTGTCTGTGTTCTACTTGTTCTGTGTAATAGGTGATTTGTTTCTATTATTCATTCACCTTTAAAGGAGATCAAAACTTGCTTTTATAAAGGAAAGTCAAAGCTTCATATTTTTGCTGAACACAGACTAGGTTTAATTTCCACCTCACTTACCAAGATTTTGTGATGTATATTTCAGGAGTACCATTCTAAGACACTGTAACATCCCTTTAGTTCTAAACTCTTGTTCACAGCATCTGTTTCGCTTTATGAATTCTTTATTGGGGACAGTAATGTGGGAACAGTATAGATACGGACCATAATGGGATATTCGCTGAAAAAAATTATGAAAAACTTGATAGGACACAAGTTCATGAGCTAATTAAGCAAAACATAGGTCAATGCTAGTATTCTGACTGATTTCTTATGCACACTATGAGCTTAGTTGCAGAGTGCTGCAGGTAAGCTGACAGTACAGGGTGAGGCTGTTTGCAGCAGATTTTTCCAGAAGAACTGTGTGTCTCTTTAGATTTTAAAATAACTGAGTTTCGGAAAATCTAGCAGTATAACTTGTGACTGGAAAAAAGTTAGTGTAATATATTGATTGTCCAGCAGAGGGAGAGCTTAACATTAGAATATCTCTGCCAGAGGGAAATAAGCTTAACATTCGAATAACTACAGTAAACTTGCCAGGTTTCTGTGGCAGTGTCCAAGTCTTCTATTGGATGTAATGGGATTGTCGATCTCTGCTTTTCTAGCAAACAGTTTGGACGATTTAATAATTCCTCTGTGCTTTTACTTACCTGGGAACTATGGTTTACTCTTAAACAAAAAAAAAAAAAAAAAAATCACAGTTCTGGTTTTGATTTTCTTCTACTACAGATACAACTCACATGGCTTACAGGGAGTAAAAGAGAACGTCCTCAGTTTGTTCAGTTTGCCAGCAGTGCTGTGTATCCAGTAGACCAACATGTTTTTCTTTCTTTTTTTTTTTTTTGGCTCTTCACTCCTCTGACAAGATACAGTAAAATATGACTAGAAGGGATCATGCAGGTGGTCGTGTCTGGACCCTTGCTTTCAAGCAAAGAGAACACAGATGCCTGATAACACTAAATCATGACCTTCATTGCCTTACCTCTGCTGTGTTTTTGGATTTTCATCTTTCACTCCATATTTTCTTCCATAAGAAAATGAATTGTATTGTTCACAGTTGTTTCTTTATGTAAGAAAAAATTTAGTAAAGAAAATTATACCTCAGCCATCCCTGCCAGACACTTGTCTAGCCTATTTTAACAACTTATGGAGAGAGCAAACAATACACTTTTGCTATTTATACTTGTAAAGCAAATACACTATGCTACATTTGTGTTTTTTATTTAGAGCCAGATGTCTCCATAGGAGATGGAAGTGTCAGTAACTTCAGTGAAATCCTGGGACAGAGCTGCACAACCAGTGATTCGGGTATGTTTTGCTTCTGTTATTCAGTAATTGCAAAATAAGCCCTGGAGGGTAAGCACTCTGAGAATGGGCTAGAATGAAAATCCATGGAAGGCTTTCACTGTGGACTCTAGTTCACAGGATTTAGGTGCCAGACTTTCTCCCTCTTACTTTCTTGGAGAACAGATGTCATTTTTATGGGTCTGGACTTAAGTCCTAGCCCCAAAAGTGTTGATTTACTGAGGTCGTCTGAATAGGTCTCTAGGCTATCGTCATCGTACAAAATGGTCAGTGATGCAGAACGGTAAAATCACATAGGCTGGAAGGGACTTCCAGAAGTCATCCAGTGCAGTCAGCTGTACAGATATTAATAATGCTGCCACACATAAATTCTTCTTTTGCTCCCAGAGAGGAGCTAGATTGTGCCTGGCCTCTGCATAGGGTAAATGACAGGGAACACAACATGCTTTAGAGGCACCTAAGGGTGAGGAGAAGCATTTCCAGGGAACCTGCAGAACACTAATGAAGGTCTGCTTTGGACCTAAGTAATTTAGTAGCCCTATTTGTAAAAACAACCTAATCAATGGAGGTTACTATCTGAAGACCTTTGCAAATCTCACATTTAAACATATGTGCAAGTTCTAAATATAGTTTTAAACTAAATACTGGGGCTATGTTTACATAATACTTTGGAGACAGATAAGAACTTGCTATGTATTTATTCTGACCCCAGTTAAACACTGCTGTTGTAAAAGACATCCCTTTTTTTTCTTTTCTTTAATCTTGGACCTCAGGCAGAACAAATTTGCAGCTATCCACCCCAGTGAGCAGCCTGTGTTTGCCTAAAAAGAATTCAAGAGGAACTGGTTACTTTTGGGAATCTAGCCTTTATAAAGTTTGTGCTGGGACTGTGTCCTGTGCAAGGGCTGGGAACAATCTGGGTACCTTTCAGGCCGGCTCTGCCTAATAAAGCTAATATTAGAACGGTAAAGTAAATGTAAATGTTATATATCATAGACCTGCAAAGTGTTTACTATAAATGCTTTTATAGTAGTTTAAAGCTTTTTAAATATTAAAATCCATGTATTTTATAAGTACACAGAAAATCAGGATAACTCAGATCTAAATTGCTACCCTATAGCTAGGATTTCAGTCTACGTATTGCTAACTCTGAAGAATACACTTTGCGCTTTTGCATCAACTGAGGTGACTCATCAATCACATTGTATTTTTTCCCTCACTGTGTCACATGAAATGTCTGGGCACAGAAACTCTCTTCTGTGGACAGTCACACTGTATCAGCTGATCAGGCTGATACAGGCTACCAGCATGTGGCAGCACATATATATGTATGGCCTGATCCTTTAAGATTCCTGGAGAATCTCCAATTTTGGGCATAGATTAAGTCCAGAAGTCAAGCAGAAGAAAATTAATCACTACAGTTACGTGAAGAATGCAGAATAGATTTTTTTTTTCCCCCCAGTGTTTACTTGCTGTATGTTCTGTTTACATGTGGGCTTTAAAAACAGCTAGTTAAAATGTTTTAAAAAACATTCTTTTTTTTTTTTCATGCCTAGTAAACTCAGTGAGAGCAATTATAAGGAAAAAAAGCTAAGGAGATACAGATGGACTACGTGATATTCTTCACTTAGAGGGTGGTGAGGCACTGGAACAGGTTGTCCAGAGAAGATGTGGATGTCTCATCCCTGGAAGTGTTCAAGGCCAGTTTGGATGAGGCTTTGAGCAACCTGGTCTAGTGGAAGGTGTCCCTGCCCATGGCAGAGGGGCTGGAACTAGATGATGTTTAAGGTCCCTCCCAACCGAAATCGTTCTATGAGCCTATGATTTTATAATTTGAAATATTGCTTTAAGACTGTTGTATTAACAGATGTTTGCATAGCATCTTAGTGCACTGACATGATTTGGAATTTAATGCCAAGAATCATTTTGGTGGCAGATTTCTGTGCAAGGATCACTTTACATTGAAGTAAAATGGTGGAATTAGGACAATGGAAGAATAATTATCATGTTTCTTTTAGCCCAAAACAGTAATTCATGGGAGTCTTGTACAAAGGCTGACAACTTCCCTGAAGTTATACTGTGCACTATGTAAATTCTTTAATGGAATCATATCCTGTGAAAAGATTCCTGTATTAGCCTTTATCTAAACAGGGGCTGAGGAAGCTAGGACAGAGCTAAGTTAAATATTTTTTAGGCCTGGACAGTTAATTGAGGATGTTAAGAAACTAAAATTTAACCAAACAGATGGGTGATAAAGTGCTAGTTTCAATATGATTAAACTATTGAATTTAGCCAACCAGAAAGCAAACAGCGTTCTTCCTCAAAAGAGAATAGAAGTCAGATAAGTAACAGCAAGTACTCTCTGGTGTGAATTTCCCTGTATTCCAGGTAGTACTGCACTCACACTAAAAGGCAAAACAAGCAAAAAACACTTAAGAATGCCATTCGGATGTTTCCATCAGCAGTATTTTATCAAGCTTCATTACTTTTTGTTAGTTTAATTTTATTTAATGGAATCAGGGATACTAGAAAAATACACTTATTTTGTGTGTAATGTATCAGTGATGATAAAGCCCTCATGATTCGTCATTTAATGATATCATCAGGAAATAAAACTGTTGGGGTCTTTCCCTCATTTTTAGTCTAGTAGAATGAATTAGTGCCTTTTCTTCATGAGGACAGTTAATGCTTGGTGGGTGATTTAAACATACTCGGGGGGGGCGGGCAGGGGGGGGAGGCCAAGACTCCATTGAAATAAATCCTTCTGATATTAATGTATGTAATTTCTGACTTCCTACATATATGTAAACTCAAGAGACTTGATATGTTTTTCTTACTGCCTGAAATAATGCAACAGCATTTTTCCACTTTTAACTTTTGAATGTTCTTTGTTTCACCTATGAGCCATAGATCTGAACTCTCTGCTGTTGCATTTTATATGATAAATGGAACGTTTTGGCCTTCAGGAGGCAAATGCATATGGCTTTTTAGTGAACAGCTCAATTGCATTATTTATGAGTCAGTCTGGAAGCAGCGTAATCTACCATGAATAGGTGTGATATATTCTGTGGTTAACTCCATCTTGTATGGTCAATTGAGTCTTCTTATCTATTTGATCTTTATACTTTATAACTCCCTTCATCATTTTTTAAGTGGTCCCTATCTCTCTTTCTATGGTTCCATCCTTTTTTTCATCCTCTGGGAAGTATTTAAAAAGGTAGCTCACTTGCAACCAAATAAATTTTAGTACTGATGAAAGAGAACGTCACACAAGATTGGCTAGATTAAAATTACTGCAGCTCTGAACACAACCTTTGTTGGTCCCAATGCTACTGAACTGTATCATTTTAATTCATACATAATAATAGTCATGTCAACATAGATTGGTGAAGACATACTGTGGCTTATTCCACCTACCCTGGTTGGTCACTGGATGTAAGCAGTTCTGATACGGAGTGGCATAGGTCCACAGAGCAGCATTGCCTATGCTAATATGCCCTGTTTCTATTTATTCAGAAGATGCTTTTGATAATGAATTAATATTTCCCACTTTGACATTTGTTCAATCTTCCGATAAATGTTCTGTGCCTCCTGTTCGATATTTATATTTCTTTGTACCCTTAGATGAAGATGAAGTGGAGAGCAGAGCTTCACCTGAGCCAGATCTGATCCTGAGAGATTACCAGATGGAAGTTGCAAAGCCAGCACTGAATGGGGAGAATATTATAATATGTCTCCCTACAGGCAGTGGTAAAACCAGAGTGGCTGTTTACATTACCAAAGATCACTTGGATAAGAAGAAAAGAGCATCAGAGCCTGGAAAAGTTATAGTACTTGTTAATAAGGTATGTTTGTCTGTTTTTAAAAAAACACTATTTTTCAAACTTCATGCATGGAACTTGTAAAGTGAATATAAACATATTTCTCAATTTCTTCTGATGTAGCTATATTTAAAGGCATACAGCTCTAAACTGTCATCTTCATTGCATCATGATCACGATGCAAGCATGATCATGAGTTTAGTTTACCTCAGTGCAGGTGCAAACTTCAATATGCCCTAATAACCACACTATTGGAAAAAGTATAATTTCATGTTAGAATGAATAGAACTACAATTATATTTTAAAAAATAAAAATATTTTTCACATTCTGTGTTTGGATTTGGTAATGAAGGCCACCTCATGAGTCTCACAGTAGTTAGGGAATATTCTGTCAGAGTTTTTGATAATTACTGTAATTTTTACAGTTACATTTAGCACATATAATATATATTAATCTTCTATTGTACTATTAAGATATAGAAAGAAATTTAAGAATTTTATTTAAAGAATTAAAAATATCTATATCCTCCTAAAAGAATAAAATTTATAGCATGTTGTGAGCTCAGTTAAAGGGCCAGAGCATGCATCGTTTGTTCATTCTTTTTAAGGCACTGTTAAGCTATAGTTCTTGGGACAAAAAGGTTTCATAGGAGCAGTTGGAGAGGAGGGGTTGGTTTGGGGATTTTTAGTGCTTGGTTTTGGTTTTTTGTGTTCGATGGATTTTTCTTTTAATCCTACCCTGCAGTGAATAAGGGGATGTTTGCTTTTTTAAAAAAGTATATTTTGCGCATAGTGTATGTTCACCTAACATTTCTGGCAAACAGGCATGTATTTTTAATCCTATGTACACTCTAGTTTAAATTTTTTCGAAACTTTTATTCAGGTACCATTGGTAGAACAGCATTTAAGAAAGGAGTTTAATCCATTCCTGAAGCGTTGGTATCAGGTTATTGGTTTAAGTGGTGATTCTCAATTGAAAATCTCATTTCCTGAAGTTGTCAGAAGAAACGATGTCATCATCAGTACAGCACAGATCCTTGAGAATTCACTGTTAAATGCAGCCAAAGAAGATGAAGAAGGTGTCCACTTATCAGGCAAGTTTTTAATTCTGAAATTCTTACAGAAGGGCTAAAAGTATGTCTCCATTCTGGAAAACTGCGGCATAAAATGTGCTACGTTCAGTAGTTAATGTTTTTTCAGTTGACTGGTTTTATAAATTCAGACTGTACTCCAAGAGTCAAAACCAGATCTTAGTTAATAAGCATGCAGTTTTTTCAAGCCAAATTAGACTCTTACAGTTCATTTGTACTAAGTATTATTTGTTATGCTTTCTATTTTATCTAGCTCAAGCACAACTTTGTGCAAATGCAGCCGTACTGGTTCCACTTTCCAAGCTTGGTAGAACAATAAGTTATATCAGATAAGGCCATAAACAGGATGAGAAAAAAATTACAAACAGTTAAATGTAGTCATTAGTTTGAAAAATACAATGGAACACAAGATAAAAACCAATCCGTTATAAACGCTGTATTCTTTAAACTCTCATGTGATATAATGGTCTCCTACAACAGATGAAGAAAGTTGAAGAAAACAAAAGACAAAAGATAAGCTGAGGTAAAATCGTTTGCCCAGGATACTCAAGTGGCACATATCTATGGGAGATCAGAAAGGAAATGCTATTATCTGCCAGTGACGTACAAGTAATGGAACAGCGCATGATTTCAGCTCCAGGATTTGGGCTGCAGTGATCCTTCTCTGTGAGATGTTAACTTCTCCCTCTCTCTGCATGCAGTCAAGTCTGTTAGATGGGGCAGGATGAATATTAGAGCTATGATATTCAAAGTAATGGCTCTGAGATAAAAGTAGTACTTGTCTGGGGGTTACAGAGACAGCAGAGAAACCTGAGAGGTCAGTCTGTGTCTCTCAGAGCCCAGTGCTGACTGGCGTCCTGTTTCATTCAGACTAGCTCACTCGGAGCCCTTTGGGTGCCTCAGAACTGCCTCCGCTCCTTCAGAATGCCTTGCTGTTAACCAAGGCAAAGTACCACAGGTTTTCTTGTATTTGTTTCCTTTCCACTGCACCTAAGTTAGTAAACCTTCCCAAATACGAATCATTTTGGAATGCCATCTAGAGGCTCCTGAACATTTCTATGGGAACTGCTGACCTGATTAGAATTGGGCTGAATCCCAACCAGCTTGTGCAAAGAAGTGGTTTCTGGAATGGGTTTCACGCTTTGCAAAGCTCCTTCATAGGGAGTTACATCTTTACCAGAACTGAGGTGGCCCTGCAAAGAGGGCCATGTTTCCATGCTGTTACACCTGTGCTAGTAAGTTCAGCTGGACCAAAGCCAAGCAAGCCTGAACAGAGCCAGCTCCGTTTTTATGGCTATGACTTGGTTAACTTGCAGCCTATATAAACCATCCTAATTAGTTACGATTTTTATCCTAATTTCTGTTGGTAACTTTTTTCATCTGTTTCCGCAGAGGTCTGCATTACACGTAACAGAATTCCAGCCTCAGTGAAATGGAAAGGACTCTCTTAATTGCATTTTACCAAATGTTTACCTTCTTTACCAAGGGCTGGTCACTGTGTGGACTTTCTAAAAGCTGTGTATCACTTTCCTAGTAGAAGCACATCTCTTCTGATTGGTTAAGTCCTTCCTGAGTAATGATAGGAATGTGCATTACAGAAATGATGGTCAAAATCAAAGGAAGGAGTTTTGTGTTGGCAAAATATCTGAGAAACAGCCAGTGCTGCTTCTGAAGTCTTGCAGTGTACAAAAATCTTAGAAATAAATAGAAATTTAGGTTTGAAACCACATCACTCCAGTCCAAACTGGCTTCCTGAATCACTTATGTGAAGACAATTGGGTTTCCCCAGTGACATGAAGCACTAGTTTGCACTCCTAGCAGTACTCTTTGGTTTAGCCTTTAAGTAAAATTTCCCTTGTTCAGTCTCCACCTTCCTTTAGGTTCTTCAAAGACTAAGTTACATGATATTTTCTCCAGCAGAAAGGCCAATTGAGAATGTTCTAGCTCTCTGTTAGTTTCCAACTTCTGCTGCCAGTTGTTGCAAACTTATTTGTAGTAATGTGTAAAACAAGACCATGGAAATTGTCCGGGAAAAAAAAAAGTTTAACCCTGATCATGTCAATGACCTGCTTTACAGTCATTTCCTCAAACATTTGTCAAATTGTTGGAAACAATGTTGAATTGTAGGGAATTAGACATGGGAGAGTTATTGGCCAGCTAGAGGAAGAGTGGGAGCTCCATAAACTAATTTTTTGTTAGAGAAACAGAGAAATGTTCATGTCATGTCATGCAAATAGATTAAGGAGATGTTTTCTGTGTTTGTGAGAGATTTAAAACAAACAAAAAATTAAGAATATTTTGTTTCTCATATAGTACTCTACCTGTTGCATGTAAATATGATCTGACTAAAAAGTACATAATACCTGTCTGAATCTTGATCAGTTTCCTCAGCTACAAAAGAGAGATGATTGGTAGTGCTCTCACCATCTATTTGTTCTTTTCAATGACACATCCATAAAGTAATGTCAATCTTTTAATTGGACAAGAATAGGGAAGAAATCTCTGTGTTGCTATGAAGTGGAAGCATATTTTGATCAGGACATGCCTTTCTAGAATGTCTGAAAGGCTTCTAACATGTTATGTACCTTCTCATAAACAAACAGTATGTAGTTTGTCAGATAGTTATGGATATCAAAGATAGGATCGAGTTAAGCTATGATATGTTCTTACTACTGTTTATTAAAAATATCTATCTAAAATTCTTTATACTATCAGATTGATTTTGCAAAAATAGAAAAGCTTTCTACATTACATGAAATGTAAAGTACTTGACACATCAGGAGTGCAGCAAAGATTCCAAGATATTAATTATTCCAAGATCTATTATATATATACAGCTTCCCTCCATGCCTTCCTCCAGCACTACAAATTTCTTAATACATTAGGGCTTAAACAGACTGACTAATTCTCTTCAACATTGTCCTTATCTGTAAGAAGATGTTCTTGCACAACTTCTACATTTGAAAAAAAAATTAGTAATTTTTGGGTTCTTTTTTTTTTCCCCAGATTTTTCACTCATCATTATTGATGAGTGTCATCACACTCAAAAGGAAGGTGTCTACAACAATATAATGCGACGTTATTTAAAAGAAAAGAAGAAGAATGAAAAGCTAGCAAAAGAAAACAAACCACTGATCCCACAGCCTCAGATTCTGGGACTTACAGCTTCACCTGGTGTAGGAGGTGCAAAAACCAACTCAAAAGCAGAACAACATATTCTGAAAGTAAATAGCCCTCACACTTGAAAACCACCGAAGGAATGTTGTCTTGTTCAAGTAAAACTTTTAAAGTTGGTGTTAGGCTCCAAATATATAATCTGATTTTTTTTTTTTTTTTCGTGTGTACATGGGAGTTCAGCTCACAGCCATTCAGCAAATTGACCCACTACAAATTAATGGAAATCCATGTACAAATAAAGGCTAATTTACAGGGAAGTAGACTTACTGAAAAGGGAAGTAAAAAGATTGTCTGAGTTGAACAAAAATCTCAAGACCAGAGGCAAGAAATCCGCAAAATAGTGAGGTTTTTTGGTTAACAAAAATCTTTATTTTTCCATTAATGGATTAGAATTTACTGTGTATTCCGAAATCCTAGAGATCACAGTATTTTATATCTGTATTTCTGGAGTGACTAAGCTGGGCTTTTGTGTGGATCCAGGAAAGTGGAAAAATAAGCTGAATACTTAAACAAGCAGAAACCATTTGTTGAAGTATAGGTAGCATACAAATGTGGTTTTTTACAGCAGTTACTCATTGAGAGGGGAATAGTGCGTAGTTGCATGAACACCTGACTGCAGATAATTGGTTAAATTCTGTATTTAAACAGCTGTTACTCTAAAGAAACTATTTTACTCGAATTCAATGGATGTACATTAGTAATACAAAAGTAGAATTTAGCCCGATACTCCAGTGAAAACTCCTGACTAGCAAATTGCACAAGAGGAAAACGTGGTATTGAATAGGTGAGGCCTGCAAGAAGCTTTTGTGCTGTATTGAAGCAGATAGAATTGCAAAGTATTTTGAGACAAAAACTTTCTGGCAATGGAAAAAGCACAGAAATTGTTGTCATCTGCTCTGAAATCTTGATAGGATGCTGGGTTTCGTATCTACAGAAATGTAATCCCAATATGCAAGCGCAAATAGGTAACTACTGCTGAAGACATTTAAAAGGTTGCCTGCCAGACTTCCTTTCCTGTTTTTTCTGCTCCTGAAAATTTTAAAGTTTCCTCATATTACTTTAGACTTACTGACAGAAAAGTGCATGTTTTTTTCTCAGAAGAGATCAAATGCAGAAAACTCCAGTTCAGTTGTGCAGTAAGCACGGAAGTTTTCTTTCTTCCTGTTCCAAGAAAGATAGTTTCAAATTGTTTTCTACGCTCATGACTAGTTCTTACTCGCATAGTTACTCTCTAACATTTATTTTCTTTTTTGTATTTTACCATTATTTTTGTTTATTTGTTTTGTGCTGCAAAATCTTCTCTACCAGAGTATCAATGGTGTATTTTCTTTTTCAATATACCTGTTTTACACTCTGATCTGCTAGTTTTTTCCTGTGTGCAAGGATCACTTCTCTCTTAAAAAGTAACTTGTTAAGCTTATCTCCAGTGCTTTTCAAAGACTTGGCCTTCTTGACGTTCCTAGTGTCTGTATCTAATTTTTGCTGGAAGAAACTGAAATTATATAAAATCCAGTATCTGAATGAGAAGCTCTGTTGCATTAATTCCGTTTTCATGTGGAATAACTCATGAAACATTAAAAGAAAGAACATTTTGTTTTCTCCCAGATCTGTGCCAATCTTGATGCGCGTCGAATCATGACTGTTCAAGAGCATGCCTCCCAACTAAAGAATCAGGTGAAGGAACCATATAAGAAGACCGTGATTGCAGATGACAAAAGAAGGGTATGGTTTTTTCAGTGTTAAAGTCATATTGCAGTTTAAAAATGTGATGTATGGTATCAAAAACTTTTGGCTAATGCTCTTTTTCTATAGATTTATTATGATCCATAGTGCTAATTTGAATATGTATCTGCTGCCTCCCTCTGTATGCAAAAGTATCAGTAAAGTCAAACAGAAATAAATTTTTACGTATTTTGAGTTATGTTTTTGAGTTATCTGATCAAAAGACCTTCTGAACCATAGTTGAAATGTTTGTATTGGAGTGACATCATATTTACTAAAAAATGCTATTACACAGCGTAATTTTTGTAATATTCTCAACTGTTTATTTCTATAACTCTAAATGCACTTAGCAACCTTACTGTTTTTTTAATTTAAGGTTTAACATTTTAAAAAAATAACTCAATGTGGTACTAGCCAGGAGAGTTCGAGCCAGTGTTTTTGTTGCCAGAAGATGCTTGCTTACTTTTGTAATCAATTTATTTCTAGGATCCATTTAGAGAGAGAATTACTGAGATCATGACAGATATTCAAAACTATTGCCAGCTCCATCCAAAATCTGAACTTGGAACTCAGCCATATGAACAGTGGGTGATTAGAGAAGAGAGAAAAGGTAAACCACCTAGCAAAAATACTCTGGCTTTGAATTTGTTTGGATTATTCTATACACAGGCATGTTTTTGTATTTTTTGTTCGCTTCTAGCTGCAAAAGAAGAAAAACGTAAGGAACGTGTCTGTGCAGAACACTTGAAGAAATACAATGATGCTCTCCAGATAAATGACACCATCCGAATGGTAGATGCATACAATCACTTAAATAGCTTCTATAAGGAGGAGAAAAGAAAGAAGACAGTAAGGAGTGATGATGACGATGAACCAGCGGTATCAAAACAGGATGAAACAGATGAATTTCTAATAGGTTTATTTCATGGTAAGTTTGAAATACATTGTGGTATTTAGTACTTGAAATCCATAGAACCAACTAATATGTGCTAACATGATTTGCATGGGCCCATTAATTACTATAGCCTAGAAATTACTGTGTTACTATGACAGCATCTAGATGTTCCAGCTCATACAGTATAGAGTACATTAAACAACATCATAGTGTGATCATGCCTCAAGATGTAGTAGAAGTTCTTCAGCTTTGGCCCAAGGGCACTTTATTTTTGCTGATAATAAGTAATAACTGTTCTGTGCTTTTCTCCAATTAAATGTCTCTGAGGACACCGTGACAGATAGATAGAATGTGTATTCTAGTAGACACTCTTGAGCGGCAAAAAGTTGACCAAATGGAATACAAAAATAATGAAATGACAGGGTTTTAACCGTTTCTGTCAAAGTTTGTTTGTCCATACACTAAGACATGGGAGTGATGACCTTGATTAGTTTCAGGTAAAGAGCAGTTAGTGAGAGAATTAGAGGATTAAATTGCAAAGATGAAAATTAGTTCCCTTTATTTTTCCAGATCATTCACCTTGGAGCTAGGATACCTTCAGTTCTTGACACATTCATGTTTTTTGCCTCTTTTTTCCCCTGACTGGCTTTACAACGAGTAAGAGGTAGACAGGTTTGCTCCCATTGCCTATGGCTCCTAGGTGGTGCAAAATAAAAGATTTTACTGCAGCATGTATTGTAACGTCATGTATCCTATGAACTACAAATTTAGAATGCCATTGGTAAGAAATTCAGGAAATGTTAAAAAATTTTAGAAAAATAGATTAGGTTAGATAATATCATCATGTTTTTTAATGACCCTTCATACCTGTCTTTTTGCCCCCTCATTTAGAATTTCAGTATTGAGCTGTTGCTGAGAACCGAAAAGTTAAACTAAATGAGAAATGAAACTGAGTTGTCTAGATTACTTTCGTTTCCATAGGTAAATGAAGTTCAAAGAACTTGATAGTTGTCGTGGTTTTAGGCTGATCCAGCA